CCTGCCGCCGAGACTGAGGCGGAGGCTGGGGCCAGAGACCCCGCGGCTCCCGACGCACCCACCGGGCTGATCCTGCTCGGGGGCTGCTGGGGGTTGGATGTCCGAGCGAGTCCGGACTTGGCGCCGGTGCGGCCTGAGGGGCGAGTTGGAAGCAAGGGCGCCGCTGGGTCGTACAGCGGTCTCCGGGAGGACAGCTCGTGACAGCCTCCCAGCACTGGCCTCTGCTGGGAAGCAGGACGCGAGGGCGCTGGGGGAGCCGGCGTGGGTCCCCTTGGAACGCGCTTTTTCCGCTGGGCGTTGCCGTACTGGAGTTTGGGGCGGCCGAGTCCGACCTGCGGGAGACTGAACAGACCGGTTCGTCCGGGGTGTCGCATTTACTGGTCGCCCCCGCCCAGGCAGGGGGACCAGTGAGAGAGAAGGAACCCTTCCGGTGGGGGGTCCTGAGAGTGCTTTTAACTGCCCTCGGTGAGCACCGCAGTGGGCTGTAGCCGCTCGAGGTGGGTGTCCATACCGGCGGCATCTCCCGGTGTCAGCCTGTCGTCCTGCACTGCAGAGTCCCTCCTGCGGCCTCATACCTGGTTCACTTCCGAGGTCGGTATCCTCAGGTGGCCGAGGGCTTTGTCAGTGCCCACTTCACACTCTTGCCTGTGCTTTTCTGGGTCATCGGTGCGGAACGTCCTCTTCCCCAATGTTTCCCTAATTACTGTCCCAGCCCTGAGCTCCGGGTCTGCAGGCCGCCGCCCGCTTTTCTGCAACTGCGTGTCTAATAGTCACCTCATACCTGCCCTGCTCCTCCAACCTTTTTCTTTCCCAGTCCTTCCTCCCTGTGGGTGGCCCACCCTCTGCGGCCTCTCATGCTGGAAACTGACTGCCCAGGAGTCATCCCTCTCTTGTGTCCCTTAACGTTCAGCTAGCTGCAGCCGTCCTTGGCCAGAGCATCTTGCTCTGGCTATGCCTGTTGGTCTCTGCCCGGGCTGTCCCCTTCGCTCAAGTTCTCCTTGCTGGATGTGCCCTTGCTCTCACCATCCTGCACTCATGCATTGTCATCTTGGAGACCAGAGCCATCTTTTAATTTTGTAATTGATTGAAGCAATTTCACACATACTGTACATAAATTAATGTTCCTAATTTGTATGTTGGTGACAAGGGATAAAGAGTATGAACAGCTGTGTGCTCACCGCCCATCCCAGGAGGTCACTGTTGCCCCCCAGGCCGGCACAGCCATCTCTGTGACTTCAGCCATTTGTCCCCCTCCCACAGGTAGCCACCTCCTGAGTGTCAAATTTCATGCCCTTATTTTAAAAAACAAAACAAAGTTGTTTTTGCTACATACAAGCGTGTTACTGAAGCACATATTATGTATTTTTTTCTTGTTCTCTACAAAACTTCTGCCCACGTGGCTTCTGCTGCTACTTGCTTTTCTCATTCAGCATTGTTTTGTGTCACCCATGTGACTGTGAGTGAGTGCATCTATTTTAACTGCTTTGTGGAATTGTATTGAATGCATGACCACAGTCCCTTCTAAGCAATGCTAAAGTCCAAGTAGCTCTGAAACCAAAAGTTTCTTGTTTTATTTTTAACCCACTTTGTGGCAAACCTGGTCTGGTAACATTTAGTAACTTCTGTTCCACTTGGTATGAATTCTCATATGTTCATGGAGGAAATCAAGTCTGATTCTGGGATGCTTCCCCCTCCCTGGCAAAACTGATATGGTCAGTTGTACCATGCGATCTTTGTATGGTCTGAAACGTTCTGAAATCCAGAGCACACCTGCCCAAGGGTTTGGTGTCGACTGTGGTTCTGTCCGCCATGGTCCCGTTGTTGTTGGATGAACATTTTGGTGGTGGCACCTACATTTTTGCCGGTTTGAACAGTGCTTCTATAAACTGGGTTGTCTATGTCTGGTGTACACTGGTGAGTTTTCCTAGGGTATGAATGTGTTGAGATTGCTGGGTCATGAGGAGCACATGTGTTCAGCTTTACAAGGAATGGCAGATGACTTTTGCAGCACAGTGTGCTCTTCTGACACCAGAGTGAAAAGCGCAAGGGAACTCATGTCTTCGTTGAGATTCAGGGTTATCAGTCTTCAGGCATGGGATTCTCGCTTACAGCTTTGCAGCACCCTGTGCCCCCAGGAAAATCAAAACTCCTCCCTCAGCTATTATATTTTTCCTGTAGAAATAAATCAGAATGAGTTATGCAGAAAAACCTGATGAAATCACAAAAGATGAATGGATGGAAAAGCTCAATAACTTACACGTCCAGAGAGCAGACATGAACCGTCTCATCATGAACTACCTGGTCACAGGTGAGGCTTGGACAGGTGATGCGGCGACAGCTCCACCACGTGAACATGGCACCCTTTTGTGCACACAGTGGGGCTTCACCACCGGAGCTCTGTCATACCGTTGTGCTCAGATGTTATAAAGACATGATGCCAACTTGATGGGTTTGTGAATTACCATGTTAAAAACAAGTGTTGCTGGAGACGAGATAATGATTTAGGTCTTTAAAACCTAAGGGAAAAAAGCCCCGTTTCTTGGCCTTTGATAGTTTTACGATGAGATAATAATAAGATGGTTATGACTGTACTGAAGTACACTTAAAGCTCAAATCCTTGACTTCCCTGGCCAGTCTGGTAAAGTATACTGGCCTGTTTCTGGAAGGTGAGTCCAGCTCAGCTGAGGGGAAGTGAAAGGGCAGGGGCGTGCTGAAGGGAGGGGCTCTGGAACCCTTCCTGATATGGAGAGGTAGATAGACAGTGCTGGCTATGGTGGAAGATCCAGGTGCTTTCACAATGTATAAACTGGAGAGTAATTCTCCCTTCTGTTAGCCTTAGCGCCCCCTCCAATGTTAATCTCTTAAATTTTTTTAAAGCTATGAGGAAATCTAGGCCTTAGTCTGTGTGTACGTGGCAGGGAACACAATGCTGGCTCTGGTGTCAGGAAGAATTGCAGATGACACTGAGTAGCAGAGTCACCAGGTTGCTCTCAGGCACAGCTTGCTGAGAAGGCAGGACCAGCATGTCTTGGAGGATCTGGCCTGCTGCTGCTAGCAAGGAGACCCCGCCCGCATGTCGGGCCAGAAGTCACCCTGACTTTTGCTGATAGGCTAGAGTTTTGGGATGGGGTGGAAAGGAATGACGCGTACTCTTCTCCTTTTTTATATTTCGAAGGCCTTACTTGTCCATTCCAAAGACACTACCACCAAGTCCCTAAGAAAGCATGGGTCATATATCAGAGGTTGCATAGTTGAGGCACTGGGCTTCCTAGAGAAGTCTTTGCATTAATTCCTTGCTAACATTCTTAGTGGTGACAACGGTTTTCATTTTCAGAGGGCTTTAAGGAAGCAGCGGAGAAGTTTCGGATGGAATCTGGGATCGAACCTAGCGTGGATCTGGAAACGCTTGATGAACGAATCAAGATTCGGGAGATGATACTGAAGGGTCAGATTCAGGAGGCCATTGCACTGATCAACAGCCTTCACCCGGAACTCTTGGACACAAACCGCTATCTTTACTTCCATTTGCAGGTGAGTTTCAGCAGGGAGCAGTCTGGCATGTGGGCACTTGATAAGGTGATCCGCAATGACCCTGAAATCACTAGGCTAATTTGTGTTAATAGAATATTGTTTTAATGTGCGTGGGGAAGGGGCTTGAATTAGCTGCTGTTTTATGCATTTCAGCTGCTGTTTTTACTTTAAAAATGCACATTTGATAACCAGAGAGGCTGGAAAGGTCCTTTTGTGGGGGACCAAGGCCCGACGGGCCTGGGAGTGAGCCTACCTGTCTCTGCCCTCGCCAGCAACAGCATCTGATCGAGCTGATCCGCCAGCGGGAGACAGAGGCGGCACTGGAGTTCGCGCAGACGCAGCTGGCGGAGCAGGGTGAGGAGAGCAGGGAGTGCCTCACAGAGATGGAGCGTACGCTGGCGCTGCTGGCCTTCGACAGCCCCGAGGAGTCACCCTTTGGAGACCTGCTTCACATGATGCAGCGGCAGAAGGTAGAGGCCTGGGAGGGAGGCTCCCCTCCACCTCGGGACATGCTCAAGAGGGCTGCACAAGGAAGCGCGCGCGTAGCTTTGTGGTGTGGACTGAGCAGCAGATGGTGATGTCTGGACACGGACACTGGTATGGTGGCGACAGTTCCTCCTGATCTTAATCTGTAAGCTCCCTAAGCTGGGGATGTCTGAACTGGGGCTGTCATGGCGAATTCACACCCCATGCTGATTTCTCTTGTTTGCCGCCTTCCTTTTATTTTATTTTTTTTGTTGTTGCCCAGACTGACCTCAAACTCTTCGACTCTAGTAATCCTTCCGCCTCAGCCTCCCAAAGTGCTGGAATTATAGGCATGAACCACCATTCCCGGCCTTTTAGTTTTTATCTTTTTTAGCTTTCTTTTTATGTCCTAAGTATTTTTCATTTAAAATTCTGTATTTTTTTCAGAAACTTTTCTCTCTTTGCTCTACATGTCTGGCCAAACATGACAACTCCTCATGTCCACATGGCATGTTTTCTTGAGTCCTGTCAGGAGAGGACATGTGTCTCCTGCCATGCTGGTCAGTCCTCTCACAGCCCCCTCAACCCTGTGTTCCAGCCTCTCCCAGGACATCCCAGCCACAGATGCTGACCAGACCATGAGCCCCCAGGGGACTGTGTGTTGGGTGCCTGAGAGTGCCTCATGGTTAGGACTTCTGTTCATTTAAATGAGCAACAAACTTGTGTAAAAATGGTTCCAAGAGGGGAAAGTGCAGGTTATTAACTGACTCTTCGCTAGTGCTCTCTGGTGTGTGTTTTTACTGATGTCTTTGTTTTACAGGTGTGGAGTGAAGTTAACCAGGCTGTCCTAGATTATGAAAATCGTGAGTCGACACCCAAACTGGCCAAGTTGCTAAAACTACTACTGTGGGCTCAGAATGAGCTGGACCAGAAGAAAGTAAAATACCCCAAAATGACAGACCTGAGCAAGGGTATGATCGAGGAGCCCAAGTAGTGCCCGTGCATTTGTGCCCCGCACCCCCTGCGGCTAGGATGTCCTCAAACCAGTCTGTGGCTAGGAGATATTGACCGCAGGAGAGAACTCTTTTCCCCCTGTCCTTTTCTTTTGACCTGGCATCTTTTTTAAAGGGAAAAATGGCCTTCTTAGGCGCTGGAAAACTCACAAGGAAAGATGCTGTGTCTCTGGCAGTCTGATGCAGACTCTGTGCCCGCAACCTTCTGAAGACCTGATGTGCTGCTGGTGCGCTTGGGGTCTGACCCCAGAGGATCTGGCCTGCGTGGAGGGGCTGCGCCTTCAGGGGCATCCTGTTCCCCAAGTGTAGAGGGTGCAGATCGCACTTCTGCGCTCTCAACTCATGGGCAGACAGCAGCCACAGACAGCGGCCTTCCTGCTTCCCAAGTCTCATCAGGCCGCACCTGCAGGTGTCCTCACTCCCTTGGTTTCTTGTTTTTTCATAGGAAAGAATATATAAATTTGTAAATCCTAATTCAAAGATAACTTGTGTGAGAGGGTGTCGCGTTTGATTTGTTTTCCTGGTAGTCTGGGTCGAGTGGCTTTTGGGGAGATAGATGTGCGTGAGAGGGGCAGGCCTGCCTGTTTTTTAATTTTTTAAATATATATTTTGGTGCTGTATGTGGTGAGTGACTCGTTCGTACTGGATCATTGAACCATCTCTTCTAGGCAGTTTTGTTGAAAATAAAGGTTTCTCTTTAATTTCAAGAATGACCAAAGTGGCCTCTAACAAGTGTTAATCATCTCAAACAACCTTTTGTTTTTGGGGCTACATTCCCCCATGGTGATGGCTGTGCACTGTCTAGAATCTTCAGCTGGTGGGGCCTCTATAGCTGGTCCATATCCTTGGAAATGGCCTTCCTTAGACCAGCAAGGATGCATGGGTTTCAGCCAAGTAGCGTGAGGCTGCTGACAGATGGAGCATGTGTGTGGTCCCAGGGATCTCCCTCTGGCTTCTGGCAGCTTCTCACCTTTACTGTCAGCCAGCCCTGCAGGTGTTCTGCTTCTGCACTCACGGTGTGTGCCCTGCTCAGAGTTGGGCAGGAGGGAAGTGGTCCAGTGAATGTGCAGGGCAGTGCAGCTGGTGGTAGGTGTGCCCGTAGACTCTGTGCACAGATATATTTGTTTTCACTGCAGCAGCTTAGCAGGTGCTGAGCTACCCCACTGACCAGGGCTGAGAGTTGCAGATGGAAGTGGTCACAGCACTGCTGACCCATCCAAGCAAGACCTGGGGAGACAGCGGTGGCTGTCGGCCTATCCTGGGTCAGCTGAGCTGGGGTATCTGCCCACCCTGCTCCCAAGGAGCAAGAGGCATCCTGAGCATGGTGGGGCTGGATGTGGTGCCACCTTGCCTGTGCCTGAGCCAGTCAGGTGACCTGCCTCCAGGGGGCGTCCCCAAGCATGATCACAGGTGCCTGCACATGCCGAGTTTCTCCCTGCAGAGCCTGTGGGGCTATGCTCTGGCTCTCAGCCTCCATTTCCAGGGTGGGTGCTTTGGGCGGTATTTGGTTTTCCCAGATGGCTTGTGTAACTTAGAGTTGCAAAGAGGAAGCCACTGCAGTCGTTCCAGAATGTTCTGGCCTCCAGGCTGCCGCCTCAGCCTCCTCTTAGGCTATGTGAGGATGAGGGGCCTCCCTACCTCCTAGAAGTCCATGTTCCAACTCCTGCCATCTCCCATCTTCCTCAGAGGTGACCTTTCTTTAGGGTGATACCCTCTGAGGTCTGATGACGAAAGCAAGTTAGAGGGAATGGGAGTTTAGTCTTTAGGAGCTAAAAGGTTACATTCCACAGAAGCTAGAAGAATATTAGGAGAGAGAGAGAGAAGTCTATATCTTTGAACAGTGCCAGATAATCCAGCATGTTTGTAATTAGCAGTGCAAAATCATTCACATGCATAAGTAATACATAATTAACTTGACATATTCTCAAAAGCAGAGGATCTGAGAAGCACAGAGGGGAGGTCTCATCTTCAGGGGATGGGACTGGGCTCGACATATACATGAAGTGGTGCTAAGTGGGTGTAACACACAGAGCTGGTATTGCCAGTTCAGTCTGTGCGTAGCTTAATCAGCATATTAGGAAGGTGTTCGAGAGCCTCAGCGATCTCAGGTGTGCCGGTCTTTACCTCTGCTTGAGAGCTGTGTATACTGCTCCTGGGACCTTGCAGCCATGAGGAGTCTCCATCCCAGGCAGCGTTTGGCATGTGGTCCCATCTGTACCCTTGCGGCCATCTTTGTTTCTATGCCAAGCAAACGAAATGAAGTCACTTTGGGATCATGAACATTCTATGTAATTTGATTTTTCTATTTTGCCTCATTTCAGATCTCACCATTGTGTTTTAAAATGTATTTCTGTTTTACAGAGTAGTTTCTTCCTTTCTTCTATGCTTTATGGTGGAAAGTGCCTTGAGATAGATAAACACGAGAATGCCCTGGCTCTCCAAGTCCTGGTGTCAGGAAGTCCTGTGAGGAACAAGGCTAGGCTGAAATATTCCTTCCTTCTTCATGTTGCCGTTGAGTCAGGGCTTTTGGGCTCCGGGAAAGGCAGTATCTCCGTGCGTGTGACTGAAGCCTGGTGGCCGTGTATGCATGGAAACTGTAAGCCACGTCTGCTGAGGCCGGGGTGGGTAGGGTTAACTGCCCATCCCATCCAGTCAAGACACGATCTGGAAACAGATAGAGAAAGCATATTGAGGACAGTTTTTCCAAGGCAGTGTGATTTCTTTATGTTCTTCCTGGACGCTGTTAGCTTTGGAGAGTGGAAGAACCAGGGCTTCCAGGAAGAATCTTGCACGTGTGACCATGAGGGCAACAGCGCCTTGGGATAGCAGAGCAGGACTCCCTCCTGGGCTGCCACCACCAGCTGTCAGTGTGAACAGAGACCAGACTGAAAAAGCACCTGTGGCAAGCGGACTGTCTGCCTCCTACGATGGAGGACATTGTCTACAGTGGGACCCATGCGCTGAAGACTCACCGCAGGCCCTCTGCTGACTGGCTGCCTGGTGTCATCTCTCAGTGGCTGCTTTGTTGACATGTTTTATTCTGATACTGTGTACATTGTTTTTTACAACAGGTATGTTTTTCTGTTAGAAGTATGTACTGCTTTTTCAGATCTGTAAATTGTATTGTCGGCATGAGTCACTTAAAGTCTCATATGAACTGTGACCTGCCGTGGCACTCTTGTGTGTATTTGGTTCTGTAATCCTTGATTCCAGTGAGGCCCTGTGCCCCCAGTACCTTTTACAAGATGAAGAAGAATAGACTTTGTGGCCTATTCTTAATTTGATAGTAAAAATGTTTACATATTTTTCAGAATGGTCATTTGAAAACTTTTTTAAATAAGGATGTTTTCGCCAGAACAAAGAATAAAATACAAACACATTTGTATTTATTGAAAGTTGGCAGAATAGAAAGGATAGAAGGGAATTCATTTAATGTCCCTTTACGCTTTGCTTGTGCTCTGTCCCCACCCTGACAACACTGACTTTCTTTGCTTGTGTGTCTGTGCTTGTGTGTGTTTGGTTTGAAATCCATCATCTGCTCTCTGGAGTGTGGTGCTTAGTTTGATTGGCCAGTCTTCTTTTTGGGAAGGAAATAGAACCTTCGAGCTACCCACTGCATGAATAGCCTAAGGAACTTTTTTTTTTTTTTACTTATGAAAATGTCCAAAATATTAAAAACGGAGTCCTGTAACACCCCAGCATCTTGCTGGTTTTGAGCCCATGGTTAGAGGTAACTGCAGGCATCCAGTCTTGGGGGCTCCATGCTTTTGGGCCACTCATGCCTTGTGGGTGAAGGTTACCCTCAGGGCCCTTGAGAAGGACTCACTGCTGCTTCCCCGTGCTTGAGCATGAGCTCCGGACGCCGCAGCACAATGCCTGGCAGAGCAGGGTGTCTAGCCAGGCTCGGCTCTGGCATGTGATGGGCAGCAACTAGTAGAGGAAGGAGGTCTCTCCCAACCCTGCACCCTCCACAGCAGGGCTGCTTTGGTGTTGTGATGTCGGCACAGCCTGGCCTCTGGTGTCTGCCTCTTGATGTGGAAGGCAGCATGGCAGTCCTTTGTGGCAATAGTGTCACCAGGGGCACATGGCGTGAGCTCCCGATGACAGTCTGTGAGGATCACATGGTTCCCTGTACTCGCAGTCTGTCTGCGATGGATAGTTTGCCTGGATTCCAGATATGTCCTTCTGCATGACTTGACACATGTGGAAGTAGAGTGCAGGGCTTAGATGGGCCTTCAGGGTGACCAGCTGTGGCAGAGCCTTCTGTGAGCCTGTGCTCCTGGGGTAGAGTGTCCTGAGCTATTGTGCCTTTCCCAAAAGCCATGAACTGGCTCTGGGGGTGAGGAGGCCTGTGCCTCAAGCTCACTGATGTGAGGTGCTTGAGGCAGGGCAGGAGCTGAGGGGTGAGTTGTGGTTCATTGGTAAAAATCCTGTCCCACGTCTATCAGGGGCTGTTTGGTTTGGGGCCTATGTGAAATGTCGAGCAGGACTGTGGCATTCTGACTCACCCACAGACTCCAGTGTCCCCCAGGTGAAAGGCCAGATTTGGGGGTCCAGTCTGACCATAATACAGAGGAGAGTTTACCAGGGGAAGCCACAGGCCCCTCTGCACCCTGCTGTTACCCGAAGAATTCACATAAGAAGCGGCTGCTGAAGACAAGCAGGTGTGTCTGCATGTGTCTTCTGGATTGGTGTGCATTTAAATGCATGTCTCACTGCAGGCCCTCCTGCTGCAGCCCACGTACGTGGTCGCTCACAATGCCTACTCCATGGGGACTCCAGCTGGCGTTTGGCACTTGACTAGAAGACTACTGGGATGCACTGCTTGTGGTGGCACTTATGTCTGCCTGTCCTGGGGCTCTGTGAGACTGGGGTGTGAGCTAGTTAACATGGAGAAGTGGTGCTGTCAGACACAGGCTCATCTGGCCATGGCTCTGCTTCCTGGAGACACATCAGCAGGCTGCTCGCACAGACCAGGCATCGCCCTCCTGTGGATTGTAGCTGACAGTCAGGATCGTACTCCCAGCTGGCTTTTGAAAGTGACACAAGCTGACCCGTCACCAAGGACCCTCTGGCATGGTGGGTCCTGGAGGAGTGGAGGAGGAGGTGGTAACATCACACTGGCCCAGGGCAAGGGACCATGGTGCTGGGCCCTTCAGTTTTAGAAACATGGGACGGTACTGTTTGTAAAACTCAAATGGTGAGCTCACCAGCACATTGAAATGGATGAGCTGTTCCAGAACCTTCCAGAATCATTCCTCTCTAGTATGCAAGTTACACTCCTCCATCGTCATTGTAAAGGTCACCTTTCTAGTTCCCATGACATCTCCCCATGGGTCTTTGTCTCTCTCTGTCCACCTCCACAGTACTCCCACTCTCATCACAGCTGAGAGGCAGCCCCCCACTATCAGTTCACACAGATCCTGGGCCAGGACTGAGCTCCTCACAGTGGCAGTGGCAGTGGGGAAATGTCACTTGTCAATCTCGTTCATTTGGATTGTCATCTTTGGAATTGTAATGCTGGGCTGGGAAGGAGGCCAGATCAAGTAGGGTACTGGAGGAGACCAGGCCCAGGTCTGGCTTGTTTTCAAGATCTGTGCAGGGCCCTCATAGCCTCTGCAGGGCCACAGCTGAGTCCAGGAGCGAGGGCAGCAGTGCTGTGATGGACTCGTGCGAGGACTGGCACACCTCCCTGCCGTAGTGCTCAAAGAAAGAAGCTAAGCGGGCCAGCTTTCTTGAAGCTGGGGACACAGCCCTCCAGGAGTGGAGTATCAGCTGGTGCCACTGGGATGACTCTGTCAGCAAGGTCACCCTCTGTCCTTGAAACCCTGGAATTGACTGTCAGCTATCATCCCCTCTGAACATAGTTTTTTACTGTAAGCCTTAAAGGTGGTTTGTTGGTTACTGTGGGCAGCTCACAGAGTCGCCTGGCAGCCTGGGGAGTGTCCACCCTGGCCACTACCAACACCAGGCATTCATAACCTCCCTGTGAGGGCCCCCTCTGTCTGGCAGCAATGGCTGTACTGCCCCATCTGCTCCTGGTGAGGGCCAGGAGTCCAGGGAACCACACACTCATGCTGGGCCTTTGGCTCACCTTGCACAGGGAGGCTCTGTGTGCCTTGGCCCGTGGCTCCCACCTGGTCGGAGCCCCCCTCACTCCTGGGGCCCGAGAGTGCAGTGGCCTTGTCCTCCCTGTCTCCAAGCCACTGCATGGCAGCCAGGGATCCCGTGACACGGGGTGGGGGGCCCTTCCTAACTTGGACCCTGAGCTGGTCTTGACCTGGCCAAGAACCATGGGGTCTCCTTGCACCTCTCTGGCCACCAGTCCTCATTTCCTCTCTCTCACTTCTGCCCTGGCCAGGCTGGACACCCCGCTGTGCATCCAGGCCTCTGCCGGGTAGTGCCCCCACTTGCACACCAGTTCCCTCCATGCACCCAGCTTCCCTTGGCTTGCTAGGTGCCTCCTCAGCCCACTCGGTGTGGGGACACCCTGCCCTCCCCTGGGATCTTCTGGCTTTTGTCTGCCCACTATGATATGTCCACTACAATGTGACTCCATATCTTTATGTAGAATGATTACCAGAGTGCCTCAGGCTGTGAATGAAAGCAAGTTACCAGAAAGGAGAGGATGCTGTGGTAGCAATACATTTAGCAAATTTCCAGACTTCTTGGCTATCTGGGCGAGTAAACCTTTCTCTACCATGGTCTTATTGTCCCCCTGAACCTCAGCTATGGGTGGAGGAATGGCCTTGCTTTTAGGTGCTAATGTCTGTAAGATCCATTCAGCAGGCATGTGTGAAGGTAAGAAGGGAAGACCTGAGGACAGACCATGCAAAGGCCCTGTGGTGGGTTGGGCTGGTGAAGACAGAAGGTAGGAGGGTGGAGGGTAGATTTGTGGGTGGGTTCTGAGTGCCTTGCAAAGCTTTTGTGTGGTGTGATGTCGTCAGTCAGGCTGCCATGTGGGAGGGGGGCAAAGAGGAGGCTTCATAGCCTCCAGGAGAGAGGTGGCCTGCCATCCACGGCCCCTCCCTGCTGGCTTCATGTACCTTGCCAGCACGGGCAATGTGAGACCCCTATGCAAAGGGGAACCAGGTTAGGGGCCCCAGCCTGTCACCCCTGCTCCCTCCCCTCTCCCACCCTGGTGTGTTGGTGCTTGGAACATCTCTCCAGAAGTTCAGGGGCCTCTGATAGTCTTGAACCCCCAGCCTCTGAGTGGATCACACCTGACACTGAGTCTCCCACCCCCTACTTCCCCCAACCCCCAACACAGGCTGCCTCGGGCCCAAGAGCCAAGCCCCCCCCCCAGACCCATTTTAAAAACTGATTACCTGGGGGTTTCACTGCCCTTGCACTTGGCTGAGACTGTCTCTAATTTCCACTTGGTTGGAAATTAGTCCCCTGTGAGGCAGGGACTGCTCCCCCGGCCTCTATCAAGTCCAGGGTCTGTGGGCTGGTACCTCTGGGACCAGAATCCCTGCCGAGGTCTGTCTCCTCCAAGCCCTAGTCCCACCAGCTTGCCGCCAAGAAAGCATCCGCACCCGCTTTGGGGGCGCCCACCTCAGGGCCAGACTGAGCAAGGTGCGCCTAGCCAGCAGGGGCACCGCTCCCCTGGGACAGTAGGGAGGTTCCTGGCTGTGCTTACCGAAGTCGGTAGGGTGGGCGGGGACCCAAGTGGCATGCCCCGCCCCGCCTGCCCGCCCTGGTGGCCGGCTGGGGCGGCATGTCCTGGGAGCACCAGACGGAAGCGCTGCTGGGACTGACACGTGGACTTGGGCGGCGCTGCGGGGTGGAGGCAGGAGAGCCCACCAGCACTGGGACTCGGCTGTGCCCTTGGTTGCCCCAAGCTAGATGCAGCTACCTGCAGACGAGGCCCGCAGGGACACCGCCCGGGACACCCAGTGGTCCAGGTGAGGCTGGGGTGAGCAAACTCTGGCAGGCGCGGTGGGTATGAGGGGAGGGAGGGGAGACGCTGCTCTACAACTGCGCTGGGTAGGAGTCACTGGACTGTGGAGGGCTCCTGTGGCCGCAAGGCTGCCGCCCAGACCCATACAGCCCAGACTTTCCGGGCCTCCTCAGGCAGCCCCAGCCCTTGGGGAGGAGGGAGGGCGTAAGTTGTGAGTGCACCAACCCTCTTCCCCTCCTCCCGCCATCAAGTCCTGTGACCTGGCAGCTGCCCCTGAATTCTTCCAGCAGTGGCCCTGGGGGTGCTCCCTGAGAAACTCACAGGCAGAGAGGTATCCTGGGAGACCTGGCCTTGGGCACAGTCCTGAGTTGTGAGGAACCCCCTTGCCAGGAGGCATGCTTACTGGGACCCCACAGCTGCAGGCAGTGAGCATCTACTCAGGGTCACTGGACAGGTGAGCCTCGGAATGGACTGGTTAGGATCCTATGCCAAGTCCCAGCTGCGTGTGGGGACCATTCCTTCTCCACCAGACTCCGTGCCCCTGTGGATATTTCAAGTCACCCACTGCTACCTGCAGAAGGCTTCCAGGCAGGGACACCACAGAACAGGAGCGAGAGGGTTCGAGTGGGATCCTGAGGAGAGCCCCCAACTGCAGAAGAGCCCGCTGCTTGGCCTGGCTCGGGCTTTGTCCCCAGGGCTTTGTCCCCAGGCGCTATGCGTTCTGGAGCCAGTCTCCCACCACCTCTGAGTTCCCAGGACCCGCCAACCACCTGCAAGGTCAGGGTGCCTTGTGACCCCACCAGCCTTCTAACTGTGTGGGCCGAGGACCCTGAGCTGCTGGGAACAGTTGTGGGAGGCTCTGCGGGACAGTGCCACCATGAATGTTGGCGCCTGGGGATGGGAAATCTGGCGGGGAGTGAGAGGGGCCCCCAAAGCCAGGAGTTCCACGGAGAAGGTACAAAGCCCAAATTGCAACCCTGTCAGGTAACAAGTAGAGAGAGGGCTGTCCTGCACCTCCCCCCTCCCTCTCCACCCATGGTTACCCAGGCCTTGGCCCTTCAGGGCCTTGCTCCAGGCTGAACCTGCCAGGCTTTTCCAGCTCCAGAGGGTGGACACCTGGGGCCTGCAGACATCCTGCTGTTCTGTTAAAAAGAGCATTTGCCCAGCCCTGACCTCCTTCACAGGGCTCCATCTGTGTGGGTGAGACAGTGACATACGTGGAGTGCTTCTGTTGACACAGTGTCTCTGCAGCCTCTGCAGGGGCTGGCACTTCTCCCCACTCCCCCACCCTCCACCCCCACCAGACTGGGGCAGGATGAGGCCAGAGGGGCAGAGTGGAGCAGGTCCCACTCCCCACACACATTCCCTCGGGCTGAAGGCTGTTGTTTTCCCGCCCTGGTGCCACTTCCCTTTTCTGAACCAAAAGGTCACGTGACTATTTGCCCAACTGTGGATACTTCTGTACAGGGGCCATTTGCAGGATCAAGGGCTCCCTCAAAGCTTCCAGGCCCTCTGGCTGGCTGGCATGAGCTGGCATGGTTGGCATAGGTGAGGGGACACATCTCAGGCTGCTCCGGCTTTCTGGTTCTTCCCGACACTGTGGATGGAGGATTCTGGGCCTGGGACCCTAGGCAGCCCTTGGGCCCTGGTCACGATGGGTCGTTCTCTCCAGCTAGCCTTACTTGTTCTGTCTCCTTATGCTGTGGAGGCGGTTTCCCCGCCAGCCTGGCCAGCCCTGCCTCTCCAACTCAGGGACGGGACTATACATGGCTCCACGGGACCTTTACCAGCACCCGCAGCTCCGGGCCAACTGCCTGGGCACTGATGGACTTTTCTTGACTTCCTGTGGCCATCAGGGAAGCCAGAGCCTGGAACTGTATTCTCAGTACTATTCCAGCCTTGGGGCTGGGCGGTCCAGGGGGGTTTTCCACAGTTTTGAACTGGTCTTCCCACCCAAAGAGCAAAAGGGTTGGGCTGTCCACTAGCCAGGTGTGCCTTGGCAGGGTGGCATGTGGGGCGGGTTCCACCTGGACACAGGTGACTCCTTTGCTGCTTTGACCACATAAAGGAACAAAGCTGCTTCTAGAGGACACCTTTGGACTATGAGGCTTTTAGTGGGAAGTTAAGGGTGTGCTTCAGTCAGGGAAAACATGTTTACAGAGAGCTTGGGTGCTGGGGCAGAGTAAACAGGCCTGCGGGCGTGAGCCAAGCCAGGGTGGAGGCCAGGGCAGTCTGGGGCAGCAGGCCCTGAGGCTGGTGTCAGGGTCGGGACTCTGTGCCCCCTGGTAGCCCACGGGCAGTGTTGGTCCCCAGACCCAGGCCCCAACCAGGTGTGGACTCAGCCAATTGTCCCCAGCAGAAGCCATACTCCACTGATAGGTTCCAGGACACATAGCACTTCCTCCCTCATGACTCTCCCAGACCCCAATGGTTGGTGGTGGAGTTGAAGTATCAGAGTTCTTGGCTCTGGCCTGCTGGGTGGGTCTGTTGGTGCCTCCGAGCACAGCAGCATCGTGGCAGGTCCCTCCTCAGGTCTAAGCGTGTGGCCAGCCTGCTCAGCCACCGGCAGTTCTGCCTGCAGGCAAAGCCAGCCCAGGCATTGTTGTGCCAACCTCAGAGGTCCATCCCCTAGGAGGCGTCCTGTGGAGGCACCAACCCTTCCAGGCTACCGCCCTCCCAGGGGCCGGTGGTGTCCTGAGGCTCCCTGTTGAGCGCTCTCTCCATCTCTGATGGGTTCCTGGCCTTAACCACAGCCTTCTCTCTTGGCCACTTCCTGCCCTTCTGGGTCAGCCCAGATGCAGAGGCCTTGGGCTGGGATTATCACCAGCCTCTGTGACCGTCCCCTCTACCGAGAAGCCTTTCTATTACCATCCTTCTCCAATGAGAATTTGATGTGGAGCCAGCTTCCAACTGACAGAGAGGCTGCACGTTCAACACAGACCTCATAGCCCCACCCGGGCCCCACCCACTGCCCCATCCACCCAGGCCTGGCACAGGAACATGGCCAGACCTGGCGCCCTCAAAGGGACTTGGTGCCCCATAAGCTCCCATTGTCAAAACCCACAGCATTGAGAAAGCAGCTCTGCCCTCAGCTGGTCCACAGGCTGGGGGACGGGGTCTTCCCCCCTCACTCCCTAATCAGAGACACAGCAGCCTAGGAACCTCCATTTGCATGGGAGGGACCGTGTGTGGGATTTGGAGGCCCTGCCTGGGGATGCCACCTCGCCCTGCCCCGGCTCCTCCGAGGGGCCATTCCTCCTCTCCTGCCTGCCCCAGGTCCTCTGCTGGACAGGCCCAGGCGACTTTCCTAGACCCTCCTGTTCTGAGCCTGCCCTGTGCCTCTACAGCCCCTCGCCCAGCACCTGCCCCACCATGGGATCCTGGCTGTCAGCTGCTCTGGCTGCCAGAGAACCAAGGGAAGCATGAAGGGTGGCACCGGGTGCTTCTGGCCCTCAGTATTGGGTACTGAAGTGCCATCCATGTGGACACGCCATTGTTCACGTCACTTGCTCTCTGCCACTCCCCCCCGGGCTGCTCCCAGCCTGCTGTGTGCCCTTTCTGCCATGTCCTAGGGCAACTGATAGGTGCATTTAGACATCTGAGAGCTTGCCCCATGGCCCTCCCATGAGGCTGTCGCAATTCAGCCCCTCAGTGTGTGGGACCATGTCCCACAGCACTTGGGGATGTCTCTGGGTGATGATCTGGGAGCAACAGGGCCACGCGGGCCTCCCTGGGGACTCAGCCTCTCCTCCCCCACAGGCCTGAGTGCCAGGCATGGACAGGTGCCCTGCTGCTGGGCACTTGCCTGTTGTACTGCACCCGCGTCAGCATGCCTGTGTGCACTGCATCCATAAGCGAGGACTTCGGCTGGAACAAGAAGGAGGCCGGCGTCGTGCTCAGCAGCTTCTTCTGGGGCTACTGCCTGACGCAGGTTGTCGGTGGCCATCTTGGGGACCGGTAAGCATACCCTCCCTATTGTCCTGCCAGATGGAGCTGCCCACAGGGCCAGGGGCAGAGGTGGCTATTGCTGCACTCCAAGGTGAGGTGAAGACAGAGCTGGAGGTAGAGGTCTGGGAGGTTGCATGAGGAGGGGACACAGCCCCAGGATCCCTGGTCTCCCCTGGAGGGACTCGGGCCATGGGTGGGAACTGCGGAGGTGCCACACCACCCCTCATCCCACCTGCCTCTCCTGCAGGATTGGGGGTGAGAAGGTCATCCTGCTCTCCGCCTCTGCCTGGGGCTGTGTCACTGCTGCCACGCCCCTGCTTGCCCACCTAGGCAGCGCCCACCTGGCCTTCCTCACAGTCTCACGCATACTCACAGGCCTGTTTCAAGGTAAGGGACTCGGGTGGCCACCCTGGTGCACCTCCAGCTCTGTGCCACCAATCGGACAGACAAGGGGAGTGTGTGCATATGTACATACATGTGTACATATATGTTGGTGGTGTGCACGTGTGAGTGCACGTGTGAACATGTGCCTGTGTACATGTGTGTGTGCATGTAGTCTGTGTGTGTGATGTGAATGCTTGTGTGCTCGTGTGTGCCAGTGTACCAGTGTATATATGTGTGTACCTGCGTACATGCATATGTGAGTACATATGTGTCTGTGTACATGTATGTGCACATATGTGTCCTCAGAAGGTGCATGCCCTCTGTGGTGACACATAGGATCACATGGGGCACTGATACTGACCTCCTGCCACTGAAGGTTGTCACCAACACCTTAGTTCAGTGACACCTCCCACTGAGGGGCCTGCTGTGGGCTACAGGACTTCATGAACTCAGACATGTGCACACTGGTGATGCCGATTCTGGGGCCATGGTGCCCCTTGTCAAGAGGAATGAAGTGGGCGTCCCTGCCTGGGGGACCTGGAGAAGCTGCCCAGTCTCCAGGCTGCAGGATCTGCCCACCCTCCTGAGTTCCCATCCACCCCCCTCCCCCAGGGCCCTGAGCATCCAGACCCTGCTCCATGCCTTGTCCCACCTTCCTGAGCCAGTGTAGGTCGGGCAGTGCTGAATTCCCCTAGATATATATATATATAAATAAATAAATAGATATATAAAAATAGATATATATATAAATAGATATATAGATAAATAACCTTCCCCCTGCTCCAAGTCAAGAGTCTGGGATGCCCTTCCAGGCCCCTCCCCCTCTTCCTCACTCCAGGCCTCAGGGTGCTGCTCAGGACCCCCCCAGCAGAGGAGGGTGTGTGGCCTGGAGAGAGGCCACTCTTGTGGTCAAGGCTGTCTTACTAGAGCACAGGCACCCTGACCACACCAGGGCGCACACGGAACCCCATGAGTGGCCAGCCCCCAGGAAGAGGTACTGCAAATACAGTAGTGATTTGAGCTGGTGGCATATTGTGGATCCCATCCAGAGCTGGCTCCTCCTGTATCGCCCATCCCCACGTACAGCTGAGTGGCCACAGGAGACCCAGCAGCTGTGAGGAGGCAAAGGAGCTGGGAAGAAAGGAAGGACTGACCACCCCCAGGAGGGGAGGACAGGCCTGGCATGACCATCATTTGTGTTTACACGGGGGACTTCTAGGTGAGGACAGGGTTCCCCAACCTGAAACAATGAGGGAAACACTCCCAGAGCCATGGGCCAGGTATTCTAGCCCTTCCCTGCTATTGCTGAGAAGGTGCCTGGACCTCCAGCCCAGGGGGTGGGTGGCTGTTCTCATGGGCAGCTCTAAACAGCGCAGACTGACCCCCGTCAGCCAGCTGCCAGTGCCTGCTGCACTTCCTCTACTTGGGTCAGTCTGTTCATGCTATGATGACTGGGCACGCTAAGCACATTCTGTGTTCTAGAAACTTTTCAAAATCTGGCATGTGTGTGTTTTGTTTGTTTGAGTTTTCTTGAGACAATGTCTTGCTCTGTCGCCTAGACTGGAGTGCAGTGGCTCCATCATAGTTCACTGCAGCCTTGACCTCCTGGGCTCAAGTGATCCCCCCTCCTCAGCCTCCTGAGTAGCTGGGACTACAGGCATGTGCCCCCACATTCAGCTAATTTTTTATTTGTTGTAGAGACAGGATCTCACTATGCTGCCCAACTGGTGTCCAACCTCTGGGTTCAAGCAATCCTCCCAACTCAGCCTCCCAAAGTGCTAAGATTACAGGCATGAACCTGGTACATTTTAATATCAGATTCATGCTCTGCCCACAAGTCTACTCTGGGGGGCCCAAGGAGCAGCAAGGGTGACCACAAGATAACCATTGCTACCTCTGATGACTGGTCATGCAGGTGGGGACAGTGGTGTGCTTGTGTACTTTGACTTTGGCAGAGGGGAGACACTGGGTTTCCAAGACCTGTGACTCTCATACAATGGGGGTGCTGGACTTCTGGGGAGAGCTCCAGGGTCCCTGGCTCATAGCTGGTCCTTGAGGGAATGGGGTCTGCCTTCTGAGTCAGGACTGTGTGAGTTGATGAGAGTGATAAGATGTCACAGAGTGAAGCAGGTGGGCATTTCCTGCGTGCTGACATCATGCACATGTCTTGGGGTGGAGAGGTAGCATCAGCGCCCTATAGTCACGGGCCTGAGGTGAAAGGACAGGCTCCTACTGTCTTGGCACCTCCAGGAGAGCCACAGCCCCCAGATGGATGCCTCCAGAGCCCCTCCAGGCCAGGCACGGGAACTGTCTTGAATGAATGGGATGTGGGTCTGCAAGGCAGTTTCCAAACTGTTAAAGCTGCTGGAGAACCCTCTATCCAACAGGAATCCTAGGAGGAAGTGCAATTTGTAAAACAGATAGAGATGGTGTTCCTGGGGAAAGCGTGTGTCTGTGTGTGCATGTGTGTGCAAATCTCTATGTGTATATATGTATACCTATGTGTGCACACATTTGTATGCGTGTGTATCTGCATGCTCAGATGTGTGTGTATCAGTGTGTGTATATGTGTATGTGCATGTCTCTGTGTGCATGTATCTGTGCACGTGTTTGCATGCATGTGTATCTCTGTGTATGTGTACCCATGTGCACATGTGTTTGCATGTGTGTTCATATCTGTGCACGTGTGTCTCTCTGTGTGTCTGCATAATCTCTGTGTGTGTATCCGTATGAGCACACATGCGTGTGCCAGCATGGACGCCATGGAGCACAACTGAGATGTTGGTATGCTGGTGGAAGTTTGCATGTGCGCACATATGCACCTGTCACAAGTGTGTTGGTGGGAGGTGTCTGTGGAGCACAGCTGGGCTCTGATGTGCTGCTGGCAGGAGAGTGTGTGCACCTGTGTACATGCATGTGTGTGGGATCCTTGCCAACCTGGGGGACACATCCTTCTCACAGCTGTGCAAGTCATGTGACCTTGAGCACATCTCTCCCACACTGAGCCTGTGTCCCCAGCTGGTCCCGCGGGGGTCATGGGCCACACCTGGATGGGTGGGCTGGGTGAGACTCCCTGGAAGGACAACAGTACCCGTCTCCTCGCTGCAGGGGTTCACTTCCCCGCCCTGACCAGCCTGTTGTCACAGAGGGTGCAGGAGAGCCAGCGAGCCTTCACCTATAGTGCCGTGGGCGCCGGCTCCCAGTTCGGGTAAGGCGGGCCTCAACTCAGGAAGGTCATCAGGCCAGCAACTGGGGTGGCCATGGTTGGGTGGAGTGGCCACAGTGAGGCGGGTGTGGCAGGGATGTAGCTCTGCTGGCCTGACTGAGCGCCAAGGAGCCGAGACTGTGCAGAGCATTCAATGTGCCACTCCTGCCCTTCCTGGTGCTGGCAGGTGCTGAGGTGGGACTTGGGGATGGGGTTGAGGTGGGGCTGCTCCCTCACACTCCCTTTCATCTGTACTAATGGAGGCAGACGCGGGCCCCCCTTGGCAGCCCGCTCCCCCATCCCCCAACCCATGAGCGCCTATGGCAGCAGGATCAGCCGGGCAGGTCGCTGCAGCCTGTGTGTGAGGCTAAGGGCGATGTGTCAGCGTCGGTGATGGGAACCCTGTGTCCTCAGCCTCCTTCCCAGCCCCTATTCTCGGGCGGCGCCAGACCCTCTGTGATGCCAGCATGTGCCGAGGCCTGGCCGGGCAGGAAACCTGCTCGCAAGCTTCAGCAGGTGGACACTTGCATGGGTCCACAAGGGCTTCTCAGAGGGATAGCCTCCCAGCCTGGCATGCCCCTACCTGGCACACCTCCCCATGCTTGCAGGACACTGCTGGCTGGCGTGGCAGGCTCCCTGCTCCTGGAGTGGCACAGCTGGCAGGGTGTCTTCTACTTCTCGGGCGGCCTCACTTTGCTCTGGGTGTGGTATGTGCACAGGTACCTGCTGAGCGAAAAAGGTAACCGGCCAGGCGGCACAGAGCAGGGTCAGTATGGGGCAGGTTCAGCATGGCAGGGCCCAAGACTGTGGCTCTGGCCTGCTCAAGGACCCTCAAGACCAGAGGCTGAGGAAGCGTGCCCCAGTACCCAGCTCTCACCTGCCCAGTCCCCAATTCGGTCTAGAAAGTTCTGTGTAGGGCTGGGACAGATACACGGTGACCTGCCATGCAGGACCAGAACAGGGCAGGAAGGTCTCGGGGGTCGCTGTGGGAAAGGTGTTTTAGACCCTGCCACTCCAGGGCAATGCTGCTATTGGGTGCTGGGCAGGAGAAACCTAGGAGTATGTGCCAGGCATGGGTGGGGCCTGCAGACCTCCTAGTCACCTGTTCAGAGCAGACCCCAATAGCCATTGCCTCGAATCTGTGCCCCTCAGATCTCGTCCCAGCCTGGGGCGCTATGGCCCATGGCCAGCCGGTGTCCAAGCATAGCAGCATCCCTTGGAGGCAGCTCTTCCGGAAGCCTCCTGTCTGGTGAGCTGGGCCTGCATGGCCCTTGGAGAGAGGATGGACCAGCACTTGCTGGATAGCCCTGAGCAGGCAGGGCTGGTCTGGAAGGGAGTGGGTGGGGATGCCAGCCCCAGAAGAATGGAGGGGTGTGTCCCACAGGCTGTGCCTGCTCGCAGGGATGCTGGGTGTGGAGGGGCTGGTTCACACCTGAGCTGGGCCCCCATGCAGGGCGGCCATCTTCTCACAGCTGTCCTCAGCCTGCTCTTTCTTCATCCTGCTCTCCTGGCTGCCCACCTTCTTTAAGGAGACCTTCCCACACTCCAAGGTGGGTTGGCCTCTCCCTGCCCACAGGGTGGGGGGGGTCTGACTGTGCCGGGCACCACAGACTCCAGTCCCAGCATGCAGATGGGAACCCCAGGTTCCGGCCAGGACTCTGAGGGAAAGCCGTTTGTCTGGAAATGGCTTTCCCCATGCAGGCAGGCCCAGCAGGTGTCTGTTTCTGAGGCCTGGAATGCGGGTGACCGGGACTCCCTCCCGTGGCTGCTGCTGTCTCCACACACAACACCTGCTCCCCAGAGCCCCGACCCTTGGGCCTGGCCTGAGCAGAGCAGGAAGAGGGTATAGGTCACCTGCTGTGCTGCATGCCCCACCCTGGTCCTGCCCCATCCCCAGTGGGAGCAGTGTGCTGCCTCAAGGAGGTGGGAGGTGGTGGCAGGCTGAGTGGGTGCAGCCTGACTGGAGCCTGGGCCTCCCACCCCAGAGGGCCTCTGCCTGAACATCCAGTCTGGGGGTGAGAAGGGCTTTCCTGAGCAGTGATGGCATGGGGTACTGTCTGGCCTGTGTGTCCTCCTTCAGGTGACCTCCACCTCTGAGGCCATGCTCTTCCCTGCAGGGCTGGGTCTTCAACGTTGTGCCCTGGTTGGTGGCGATTCCTGCCAGTCTGTTTAGCGGGTTCCTCTCTGATCATCTCATCAGTCAGGGTGAGCCCTGGGGAGGGTACCAGGCCAGGAGCCCGCTCTTGGTTAACTTCACCTTTGAAGGTGGGAGGCTCCCTCTTAGAGGGTGCAGCTTCAGGGTGTGGAGGAGGCCTGTGGCCCAGGACCAAACTGGAACTGGGTGTGGACGCAGCCTGGGGCCTGGCCCATTCAGTTTGGCCTGCACCTGCCTTCAGCCAAGCTCTTCTTTCCCATGCTCAGTTTCCTCGCTAAGGACAGGCTTGGGGTTCAGTTAGAGAGCCCTGGTCACACTGTGATGGTGGCACTCTCCCTCTGGGGAGACACAGCCCTTGACTCTCTGTGGAGGAGGAAGGCCTCTGGTGGGTTCAGAGGGTGCAGACACCCACATCTGCACTTGAACCTTTCAAAGAGTTCCATCTCTGTTCCGTGTGCTCCAGATCCAAACAGGGACAAGCCCCAAGGACTGTGTGTGTTGCTTTGAGCTCCCTACGTACCTGGTTGTACATGCAGTGCTTCCCACAGGACAGTGTCCTCTGGGATACATACATGTAGGTGCACACATGTGCTCACATGCTCACTCTGCACATGGATACCCATTCTCTAGATGTAGGTGTTTTCCCTAATTATAAAAGGGATAGGCACTCCCTGAGGTAATACTAGAAAATCTGGAGGAACAGAGAAAGTGGGAACCACATGGTTGTTCACGCCTTTGTCACCCTCCGCATGACCACTCTTCTATGTGTTTCACCTAGACCTCGGAAATCTTCTAAGTGCATATGGACTGCCGCACAGCTGTGCTGCACACGTGCACATGCATATGCAGATGTTTCACCCACCCTGAGCCCTGAGCCACCGCCCCAGCCACCCCATACCTCCTCCTTCTCCACCGCTGTGCTGGGTGGGGGCCGCTCGGTGCCATCGGGAGGGGTCGGGTGAGCAGGCTGACAGGACCTTTCCTTGGTCTCCCTCCCCACTCAGGTTACAGAGCCATCACAGTGCGGAAGTTCATGCAGGTAGGAAAATCCCTCCAGCGACTCACTCTGGACATCCCTGCTTGTCTCGGATCTCCTGGGGCCTGAGGGTTGTGTCCCTAAGTCACCTGATTTCTGGGATCAGGCAGATGCGAGTCCTCCCAGGCACTGGAGGTGGCTGGCGCCTGTGTCAGGGCAGCAAGGCTGGCCTGAGGCCTTCTCTGGGCTCTGAGCTCGGGCTCCTGGCTCTCTGTTCCCTGGGCTTGGTGCCTCTTTCTGGGCCTAGGCTTATGCCTGCCGAAAAAACCTCCCTCATAGCCGGGCCTGTTCCTGGGAGCTCATCTCAATTGTCCTCTGGTGGGGGCCATGATGGGTGTCCAGGCTGGGCAGACCAGCCCCTCATGATGTACCCCTAGGTGCTGGTCGGGTGGGCCAAGCCGGGAGGGGTCCTAATCACAGTGGCCCATGGCACCTGCTGCAGGATCTCACCCCCTGCTAGGTGATGGGCCTCGGCCTGTCAAGCATGTTCGCTCTGTGTCTGGGCCACTCCTCAAGCTTCTGCAAGTCTGTGGTCTTTGCATCGGCCTCCATCGGCCTCCAGACCTTCAACCACAGGTGAGAGCCGACCACTCTGTTCACCAGAGCTGCCATGGTGTCAGGCACCCCAGCTCGGCACGAGAGGCCTCTGCCTCTCTCCACATCCCCTCCTCTTGTGTAGCCTCCTTCCTGAGCTGCCCGGTGGCCACTGTGTCCCTGGGAGCTGTTTCAGGACCCGCCGCCCAGTGAGTGGGTCGCCTGTGCTCTGCTGCGCGTTGTTTCAGGGCAGCTTCCTGGGTCCGCTATGAAGAGTGCCATGCTGGGGCACAGGATGGGTTGGGGGGGGTCCTGCAGTGCCTGGCAGAGCGAGCAGACCCAGGCATCTCCCAGTACCCTCTGCCAGGCTCACCCGGCCCTTCCTTCCCTGTGATGGCCTCGGATCTCCCTTCCTGTCCCTGCAGCGGCATCTCCGTGAACATTCAAGACCTGGCCCCATCCTGTGCCGGCTTTCTGTTTGGTGAGGACGTCACTCGCCCGGACTTGCCCCTGCCCAGGCCTCCAAGCGGGTGGGCTGTGGGAGTCCCCGGGAGCTTCCTCTGACCGTCCTGATTCTCTCTGGCTCTGGCCTGTTCACAGGTGTGGCCAACACAGCTGGGGCCTTGGCAGGTAAGGTTGGGTCTCCGTGCATGGAGTCCCACTGCTCATGGGGCCTGAGGGGCTGCAGGGTGGAGTGTGGTGCCCTTCCGAGGGGTCCCGGTGTCAGAGGAGGGCACAGACCCCAGAGCTAGCCTAGGGAGAGGAGGACATGGTTACCTCTGAGGTGTCCCCCAACCGTCACTGAAGGCAGGTAGCTCATGGTGGCCATCCTACCCACTCACAAATGTGGTCGAGTCCTTGTCAACCAGGATCCCAAGATCATTCCCTGGCTCAGCTCCTCCTGCCACGCACCTGTTGCTTTAATTCCCCTTTGGAGGGACATGGGAGAGACTGGTTAGGGGGTCATTTCCCAGGTATCCTGTGAGGCTTCACCCCTCCGACACCCTCTGAGTCTGAGCCTGGCCCTGCAGCTCTGACATCAGAATTCAGCTCCGGGAACCATGGAGGTTTCTGCTTGTCAGAAGGACTGAGAGGGACCCTGAGTCATAGCTGCAGCCCCCACCCTTGCACTTCTCCCTGGTGCTGCCATGGGGGTGGGGCAGGGTAGGGTGGGGTGGGGCCTGGCTGTCCAGGCAGCACTGAGCCCCTCACTCCTTGCTTCCCGGCAGGTGTCGTGGGCGTGTGTCTGGGTGGCTACCTGATTGAGACCACAGGCTCCTGGGCCTGCCTGTTCCAGTTGGTGGCAGTGATTAGCAACCTAGGGCTGTGCACCTTCCTGGTGTTTGGACAGGCCCGGAGGGTGGACCTGAACCCGTCCCACCAGGATCTCTAGGCCCCACAGTCCTCTGGGCTAAGGGCTCAGGAGGAGAGGCCTTGAGCAGAAGAGAATTCAAACCACAACCCACACAGGCCCGGAAGGGTTGGGGCATGGGGGTAGGCTGGGCTCATGAACCACCTACCTCTCTCTGAGCCTCGGTTTTCCCACCTGCCAGTGGGATTGATCCTGTTCTCCTCATATGGTGGTATGACTGTGAGGAGTGAGTGGAGGATTTTGGTATCCTGCAGCTTCCTTACTGGCACACTCTGCACTACCCCCCACCCCTTGTGTGGACATGCGCCTGGGAGTGCAGGGGCGGGGTGCTGGACTGAGTCTCCCCCATACCTCACCTACTTCGCTTGTCTCCAGCGGGGGGACCATCCTGAGCACTGCAGGATGTTAGGAGCACCCCTGACCCCACCCACTCCATGCCAGCAGCACCCTTCCTCCTGGCCTTCCTCCCTCCCACAAGTCACAGCAAGCAGGACTGTCTTCACACAACGTCCCCAGGTAGAAACCACCCCGGGGAGGCTACCTGCTCAGCAAGGCTTCAGTGCTTCTTCTCCCAGCAGCCGACTAAGCTCCCAGGTCAATGGTGGGTGGTGGGCTAGAGACCCTTGCCCATCTCTGGGGAGCCCCCACCCCGTCTTTCCTCCTGCGGTTCCCTTGGTACTAGCAATGTGTCCTGGGTGGCTAGATGCCTGGACACCCCTGGGCCCTGTCTACTGTGGCCGTGGTCTGGGCTGTTTGGCCCTTGGGCCATCCAGGAACCATCAGCACCTCCTGTGGGGATTGGCCCCATGCATCCCAGAGCAAAGAGGAACCATGTCTCTAGTGCTCTTTCTACCTCCCCTTTCACACTCTGAGGAGCTGGTGGCCTCATGAGTTAATAATGGACTTTGCAAAGTGTATATGCAGAGGAAAGAAACTATAAAAATATGGAAAACTGCACCAAAGCCTTATTTAAACGACCATTAAACTATTTATAAAGAAGATTGTGATTTTATTTAGCACCTTTGTTTTTTTAAAAATGAACATGTGTCAAAGATTTTATCACTCATTCATGAGGAAGCCAGTGAAGTGTCAGAACCAGCTCAGAGAAGACCCTGACAGACATGGCCTGGGGCAGGCAGTGTGAGATGGGCGCCTAGGGCCATGCTGGCTTCTCATCATTCCTTTGTGGGCAAGGCTTGTGCATGTCCATGGATGACAACTACTTGTGTTACTATCAGTCATCCCCAGAGCTTTCCAGAGCAGGTGGCTCCTGCAGAATCAGATAAGCTGGGGCACTGAGGAAGGACCCATGTCACATTCCCTGTGAACACAGATGCTCCCCACAGTCTCTCCAGTTTGAGTCAAAAAGAATCTCAGAGACACAGATCTTGTCCACATGATGCATCTGGCCTCGTGAGATGTGGCCTGATCAGTCCTGTGGGTTCAGCCAGGACTTGCAACGACTCTACTGGAGGCTGCAGGGGTCTTGGGGGCTTCCAGAAGACCCCACAGTCCACTCTCATGAGGGAACCTCCCCACCGCAGAATCCAGGGCAGGGCCTGCATGTAGAGGATGAATCCCTCTCCTCCCCTCCTGGCAGTAAGTCCATGTAACAAAATTTACCATCTTAATCATTTCTAAGTGCAGTTTAGTGGCAGTAATTACATTTATATTATTGTATGGTCAACCCCACCATCATCTCCAGAGCTTTCTCATCTTCCCAATCTGAAGCCCTGTCCCAATAAACACCCACTCCTTCTCCCCATCCCCAGCCCCCACCCCTTCTCTCTGAATCTGAGAATGCCAGGGCCCTCCTATGAGTGATTCACAGGGACTGTCCTTGTATGCCTGGCTCACGACACTCAGCACAGTGTCCTCCAGGCTCCCCATGCTGTACCATGTCAGATCTCCTTCCTCTCTAAGGCTGAGTGACACCCACAGTGTGGATGAGCACGGTTCGTGTGTTTATCTATGCAATGGTGGCTGAACTTCCAGGCTGCTGTAAATAGTGCTGAGAGTAAGGGAGAGGAGACAGCCCGTCCCACGGGAACCCCTAGTCAAGACCCCTGAAGGGGTGTGGGGCCGGGAGGGCGGTGCCCCTGGAGACCTCAGACTCCAGTGTAAACTCTGGTCACAGGGCCGCGGTGCCCAGGCCCTCGGGACTTCGTGACTGTCTCGTTTCTGTTATATCCTCACAGAGTGGAAGCCAGAGGAAGTTGTCCTGTGGACTTGGGAGTTCAAGCCCTGGTGGGTGCCGCCTCCCGGCCTTTCCTAGGTTGGCCCCTGAGCCAATGTCCAAGAGTCTGGGAAAGTTGGGGAGAATGCTTACTGGGAGGGAGTAGCCCAACCTCCCTGGGCCCCTCAGCTCCCCAGGGTGGCAGTGCCTGAGATCTGCACTTGTTATCTGGGGCAGACAGGCCCAGACACTGTCTCCGCCCTGTGGGCTACTTGGGCTGGGTGGTGGTGGCACCTGCATGCAGGACCCCAGGCCTCAAGGTGATTGGGAAAGAAGGGAGTCCCCACAGGGGAGAAGACTGGAGTGGAGCCTGTCCCATTCATTCCCCTGTGAGTTCTTTGGTGAGTTTGTTCAGCAGCAGGTCCTGACCCCCTCCCTGCCTCACCCCCCAGGGTGAGAGCCAGACCAGACTGCAGCCCTCCTGATGGGGGGGTGAGATGGAGGGCACAGTGTGGGCAAGTAAAGCAGCCTGGGGGTGGGTGTCTAGACAGAGAAGGATAAGGAACCTGCTGGGAAGGTTTGAGGAGGAGCATCCAGGCCAGTGGTGTCTCGGGAGTGCCTTCAAGGAGGGGGCCAGCTGGGCACTAGAGCAGAGGGTGGAGACAGCAGGGCCTGTAGTCTCCGGAGCAGGTAAGAGGCAACCTGGCCCACTCCCAGAGCCAGCACAGGTTGGCCTCGGCCAGGAAGCTCTCCTCCTTGTCCTCGCCACCTCGTACACACCCTCCAGGATCTTGGTAGAGGACAGATAGGGCAGCAGGATGTCAGACCCAGTTCCTCTGCCCATCACACCTCAGACCCTGATGCTGGCTGCCCAGCACCCATCTCCAGGACTGAATTGCTGGACCTTCAGGCAGTTCCCAGGTAGCCAGGGGGACCTAAGCCGGGCTTGGGGCCCTGCACCACCATGTTGGGGCCTGACAGTTGCTTGGTGCTAGCCGGGAACCCTGAGGACAGTAACAGGTGGGTAAGCAGCCAGACCAAGAGCATCTCAGGGTTCAGCAGTGCCCATGTCCTCACCTTTACTCCCCAGGAGGAGCCCCGGTCGCTGGACTGTGTGAGTCTGTGTGCATATGTGTGTGTGTGTGTGTGTGTGTGTGTGTGAGAGAGAGTTGTGCAAGCCTGTGTCTGAGTGTGAGTGCATGTGTCTGTGCACGTGTGTGCATGTTAATACATGGGTGAGTGTGCATGTGTCCACATGTGCAGGTGCCTGAATGTGTATGAATCCATGTGCCCTGGAATGTGAGTATCTGTGTACATGTGTGAGCACGCATGAGTGTGCATGTGTGAGAATGCATGTGTTTGAGTGTGCACGTGTGAGTGTGCATGTGTCCACATGTGCACCTGTCCAGTGTGCACACGTGACTGCACGTGCCCTTGTCTACTGAGCTCGCCACCTCAGTATGTGCCCATAGTCATCCCCCATCTGGTCAACAGAGGGCACCGTCGGACAGAGCTGTGTTCACTCATCTGAGTTCCCAGCAAAGGGGTCCCCAGCCTGCTCAATGAGACCACTTGAAGGACAACATATCGGGTGGAGAGGACAGTGTGGGTGACAACAGGGGGAATGTCACGTTTAGTTGTTGGGGAGAGGCGTGAGGCCTGGGAAGGGGATGCAGGGAAAGGGACCAGGCTAGGTCCTCAGTCCTCTCCCAGGGTTGGGGACCTTACATGTCGGGGTGACCAGGGCCCCTCGGAGCCTGATGCTCAGATGGCAGCAGTGCCCATGTCCTCAGATGAGAGGGGTCCCTCCCTCCCACCAACCCATGCCTTCTCTGGTCTGGGATCACTATGGCGTGCCCCTCCCTCTGGCCAGCATGGCTTGTCCCGTCTCTACCTTTAACAAGAAGATGAAGATAGCAGCAGTTGAGACTCTGCTCCGACCCCTCCCACCCCTGCCTGGGGATCCCCAAGATACCCAGTTCCAGCCCCTCTCCTCAAAGCTCAGGGAGGGCTGATACGAGACTATGAGACCTCAGGGTTCAGCGTCAGGGAGGGTTGTCCCTCCATCCGGGCTTGGGGGGCTGTGGAGCTGCAGTAGACTGGGCACAGGAAAGCCGTAGGGCTGCAGTATAGACCAGCCACAGGGGGCTGCAGGGTTGCAGTGTAGACCAGGCACAGGGGGCTACAGGACTGCAGTGTAAACTGGGCACAGGAGGGCAGGGGCTGCAGTGTAGACCAGGCAAAGGAGGACAGTGGGACTGCAGTGTAGACCGGGCACAGGAGGACAGTGGGGCTGCAGTTTAGACCAGGCATGAGGGAGCCTCAGGATTGCAGTGTAGACCGGGCAGAAGGGGACCATGAGGCTGCAGTGTAGACTGGGTACAGGGAGGGAGCGGGGCTGCAATATAGACCAGGGACAGAGGGGCCATGGGGCTGCAATGTAGACTGGGCACAGGGGGCCACCAGGCTGCAGTGTAGACTGGGGTGGGTAGGGACTCTGTGCAGGGGCAGCCGTCCCTCCACTCACAAGGGAGAATCCTTCATCCAAGGGGCAGCTCTACCCTGGGCACTGGGAAGCCAGGAAGGGATGGCTGTGCTGGGCATGGCCTCCTGTGGAATCCCGTTTCCAGAGCATACAGAGGCTGGTTCACACGCAGCAGGGCCAACCTAGATGTCTGGGGGCTGCTGCTTTTGTTTCACTTTTGCTTGGTATTTCCCACATGACTTCACGTGAAGATTCAGGGCGACCACAGTCTCTGCAGTAGTTGTGTCTAAGTGATTTGTGATTGTGATGTCCAGTCAGAAGAAGGTGGAAAACAGAAGCGTGTCAAGGAGCACCAGCCTCCGGCGTCCTGTGGTCGGCCACCATTGGCACTGA